TTTGAGGATATTCTGTACCACTCTTTTTTGAACCTCCCCACTAATGGTTTCCCTCCTCCACTTGAGGTTTCCTTTTCACCTATACTCCTTTGTCTTACTTTATTGCCTTGACTACACTCTCACCTCTCCAAGCTTTCCTCACCCACCTCACTGCCTCCCCGACTGCCCCACCCAGTGTTCTCTTCCTCCCTTCCAATTCACTCCCATAACTCAGTCTTCTTCTCTTCCTTCTCCCCCAGGAGCTTGAGGCATGCCCTGTGGCCCTCACTTCCAGACCTGCACCGGGTCCTAGGCCAGTACCTTAGGGATACTGCAGCCTTGAGTCTGGTGAGTACACTCCCTTGCCTATTACCCATCACCAGCCCTACCTGGAACTGGATCCTTGCCCCCACAACGCAACTTTTCAAGGCCCTTGCCTGCCAGCATTCCATTCCTGGGCCCTATCCCCAGCCAAACCCTCATTCCTACACAATCCACGTTCTCTTCCCACAGGACCTGCTCTAATCCACATCCCTTTCCTTCCCATCTCTCCCAGCCCAAGGCTGCCGTCTCAGATGCCTATGAGGAAGTGGAACCCAGCCTCCTTGAAATTCTACCTAAGTCCTCAGAGAAGACTCCCTTGCCCCTATGTTCCTCCCAGGCCCAGATAGACTACCGAGGATTACAGCCCTCTTGCTTGGGGACCATACCCCTGTCTGTGTGCCCACCTGTAGCTGAGATGGGGTCCTACTGTACCACTCACATTGCCAACCATTCCTACTTACCTTTGACCTGTTGGCAGGCCCCTCACTCCCAGTACCCTGGACAGGTCCAAACCCTCTAGACCTTTCTTCCCAACCTCTCTACCCACTCCACCCCACCCCCATACCATATACATCTCGGACCTCATTTCCATCCCCCTTGTTGATCCTCATAGCTGGAATTCATGACACTGATCTTTCAGTACCGCTGACATAAAGCCAGGACTCTATTACCTTAGGCAAAGTTCACTTGACTAAGCTCCTCTAAATCCCACCTTCTTTCTCCTCTTTAATGCCAAATTCTTCACTTCCTCACTTCTCATTTGCTCTTCGGACTATTTCAATTAGTTCCCCTACTACCACTTTGCTAATGAATCTGCTCAGGCAAAGTTCACCTCAAACTTTCTAATTGTAAGACCCAATAGGATCTTGTTAACCCAATCTCTCTGTGGATTTGTCATGTGACTACCTGTTTCTCCTTTAAATTCTCTCCTACCTTGACTTCCATAACATCACTGTCTCTTCTGGCTCCTGCCTGTTTGAGTATACTGGTAGTTAAGAATGTAAACTCTGGAGTCAGCACTGGGTTCAATTCCTGTCAACCCACTTACTATCTGTGGGCAAATAAAGTCTTTGAGTCTGTTTCCAATCTATAAAACAGGGGTAACAGAACCCTACAGAGTTGTGAAGAGAATTAATTAAGATAATCTAAGTAAAGCACAGTGCCTAGGATATAGTAAATGTTTAACATATCTAAACAATCATTCTTGTTCTCTTACTCTGGCATCTTCCACTCCTTAATTATTGCAGTCCCTCAAAAGTCCATTCTTAACACAGTTTCCAGTTCCACCCACTTTCATGGCCTTTACTCTATGCTAACTATTCCAAAGTCCTTGTCTCCAGCCCATACTTCTACCATAGCACCTGTCATGCCTTATGCAAGTAACTGTTACAGGTCTCCTGCTACTATATTGTGAGCTCCTTGAGGGCAAGATGTGTGATTTATTTGTCTTTCCCCTCCAGCACCTAGAGTAGTGCTTGGTGCATGGCAGTTGGCCTTCAACAAATGTTTTCTAAATGAATGAAATATTTCTGGACACCACCATCTTAACCCCATGCTAACCTCCCTCATCTTCTAAGCCATTCATATACAGCAGTAAATGTGCTTATGCCATTCTGGCTCCGGATTCCTCTGACCCATTCAAACTCTCAAACAAATGGATTGGTTTTTTTTGTTTGTTTCTTTCTTTCTTTTTTCTAGCTCCAAACATACCACTGTATCAATCAGGGTCTTGGCAAAAATAGATGGCACACTCAAACTGGATATCTTAATGAGAGTTTAATAAAGAGCATATTTATAAAGATGAGGCAGGATTTAGGAAAACCATCAAGGAATAGTGTAGTACCCCAGGGCTAAAAACAGCTGGGAGCTGGTTCCATCCCTAGGCATCAAGGAGTAAGGGGAGAGAGTGGTTACTAGATCTGGAGAGAGCACCTGTAAGAGAAGGCTACCTGGCAGGAGCAGTAGCCTTTGGTAGAGAGATACAGTCAACCTATTAAGACATGGCAGAGAGGGAGCCAGGGGAATAAATAGCTGAAGCTCACTCTTATCCCATCCTCTGATCTATGTATTAATTTGCTAGGGCTGCCGTAACAAAGTACCACAAACTTGGGGGCTTAAACAACAGAAATGAATTGTCTCACAGTTCTGGAGGCTAGTTCAAGGTGTCAGCAGGGTTGGTTCCTTCTGAGGGTTGTGAGAAAGAATCTATTCCACGCCTCTCTCCTAGCTTCTGGTGGTTTCCTGGCAATTTTTGGTGCTCCTTGGCTTAATAGTGTTAAGAGTGTGGTTCTGGGCAAAGATATGCTAACGGCCAACTTCTGCTTCTGTAATCTGCTTGCTTGTTTGATGATTAACTAGGGTATGGTTAATCTGCTTGCCTGTTTGATGTTAACTGGGGTGTGGCTGGGCTTTGTAAGCTGCCTCTTTTGGGAGCTCAAACCCTGTGTGGTAGAGTGTCAGTCACCGGTGGCTAATAAAGGCTCATAATTCATCTCAACTGGCTCTGCGGGTCTTAGAATTGATCGCGCCACAACATTAGGAGGTCCCAGCGAGATCTCTCTAGAGGGGGAGATCTCCTAAGACCCGTGACCCCGGCCACCTAGGGTGAGGACCTGCCCGTCCAAGGGACGGCCACTGAGAGACGTTCCTCAGCCCCGGACGCCAAGCAGACTCGCCCAAGAGGGCAGGTGGACAAAAGGTTTAATTCTGTAACAATTGGGCACAAGCCATCTGGAGCAGCTTCACCGGTGAGTCAGACTGCACTTGGATCTGTCAGTGAGCCCTAAAGAAAACTAGTGGAAGGCTGGACACAGCAATACTTCCCTAGTTTGGTCAAGGTCTGAGACGTCAGACTTGACTTCAGGTATTCAGGTTTCTGGTTCAGGTATTCAGGTTTTTGGGTACGCTAGCGTTTTGTGCTACCTGTAGTTTGTCTTGTCTGTCTGTATCGTGTCTGTCTGTCCGGACTTGTCAAATGTACTGTTACCCTCCTATTGCCTTGGTCTTCATAAGTTTACTCCATATATCGATGTGTGGTATTTTAATTTTTTCCTTAGGTCTGGCCTCTGTGGCCCCGTCTGACTGGACGCTAGCTCAGGGGATGATCCTAGCCCCGGCTTATTTGGCTTTTGTGGGGATCTTGCCTGTTTTTACTAACATGGCTCAGGCTTCTTCCTTGAATCGTCCTACCCACCTTCAGTGCCTCCTTAACCATTTTAAGGATTTCAGGAGACGAGCCCAAGCCTACGGAGCTAGTGTCACTCCCTTTGACCTTCAGAGGTTCTGCCAGTTAGATTGGGCCATATTTGGATCAGGGTGGCCATCAGAGAGGTCACTCGACCTGCAAACAGCCTTTCAGGTGCGGGGTATTATCTATGGAAATCCTGGCCACCCTGATCAGGCTCCACATACTGATGTGTGGATCGATATATTTTCTGATGCCCCCAAGTACTTGAAGGACTGCCGCTGCGGCCAAGAGTCAAAGGCGACTCCCAAGTCTGTCCTTCTCTCCACACCAAAGGGGCCAAAAGAGAAACCGTCTGGACACCTAACTCTCTTTACCCTGTCCTACAGGCACCCCCGGAGGACCCCGAGATCACTAATCCTCCTCCTTAACTCCTCTGGTGACCTGTTCCTGTCTCCATCTAACAGGAAGGCAGAACCCCTCCAGAGTCCTCCCCACACCCGCACTGGGGTTGTGTACTGGCCCCCACAAGACCCTGATCCTGTTCCTGACCTGTCGAACCAGGCAGCAGTCCTGGCCCCACTCCAGCAATTGGCGCCCCCAGTTGGGGGAGAAACCCAGAGGCCATTCATGGTCTATGTCCTTTTCTCCACCAGTGATCTGTACAAGTGGAAATACCAGAACCTCTCGTTCTCAGAGAAACCCCAGGGATTAACCTCTCTCCTAGAGACTATTTTCTTTACCCACCAGCCACCTTGGGACAATTGTCAGCAACTCCTCCAAGTCCTGTTTACCTCAGAGGAGTGGCAGCGGATCCTGAGGGAGGCTGCAAAAGCGGTATTAGAGCCCAATGGGCAGCCTTCCACTGATCCGACCTGCGTCCAATATGTTCTCCTGAACACCCGTCCGCCTTGGGACCCCAACACTGACCAAGGTAAGGAGGCTCTCCAACGGTATCACCAGCTTCTCTAGGGCCTCCGGTCTGCCACCCGATGACCCACTAACTTATCTAAGGTAAGCGAGGTCATCCAAACTAAGGATGAATCACCAGCAGCATTCCTGGAACGACTCTTAGAGTCGTATCGGTTGTATACCCCTATTGACCCAGAGGACCCTAATAATAGGAGGGCTGTGAATTTAGCCTTTGTCAGTCAGTCGGCCCCAGATATTAGAAAGAAACTGCAGAGGATGGAAGGGTTTGAAGGAAAGAGCCTGTCTGAGCTGGTCGAGATAGCCCAACGAGTATTCAACAATAGAGATGAGGTAGATATAGCACAGACTAAGAAGATGAGCAAGGTCCTGCTTGCAACCATGCAAGGAGCCCAGCCAAAGGGACCGCCACGAAAAGGCAGAGGCTGAGAACAGGCACCCATGGCGAACAATGGACCCAGGAGAGTCGGGTTAGAGAAGGACCAATGTGCATATTGCAAGAAAAAGGGACATTGGAAGAATGAGTGCCCTGAAAAAGGACAAGCCCTCAAAAAGAAGGCCCCCCTCGTCCTCTTCGAGGACACAGAATGAGGAGGTCAGGGCTCCTACATTATGAGACCCCGGGAGCCCCAGGGTAACTTTACAAGTCGGGGGCAAGCCTGTGAACTTCTTGGTGGACACAGGAGCTACGTACTCTGTTCTACGGAGCGCCCAGGGCCCACTCTCAAAGGAAAAGACACTTATACAAGGGGCCACTGGACAAGGAAAATCTTACCCTTGGACCCAAGCCAGGATAACAGATCTGGGAAAAGGAACGATTACCCATTCATTTCTAGTTATGCCAGAATGCTTGTACCCGCTGCTGGGTAGAGACTTGCTACAGAAGTTACAGGCCACAAACTCCTTCAAGGAAGGGCATACTGAACTGACTTTCAGGTCAGGCCCACCGGCCATTCTACTCACTTGCCCATTGTCTGAGGAATACCTTTTGCTAGAGGAGCCCCTAGCAAACTCGCCGGGGCTCTTGTCTAAAACCCCCCCGTTAACTGAATTCCAACAAAGGATTCCCGGTGTCTGGGCAGAGGCAAATCCCCCCCGGTCTGACATCATCCTCCTATTATAGTGACTCTGTCCAACTCAGCTACTCCAGCCCGGGTACGTCAATACCCTGTCAGTCAGAAGGCCCGAGTGGGTATCGCTGTTCATATTCGAAGGTTGAGGGAGGCAGGAATCTTAGTTCCCTGCCACTCCCCCTGGAACATTCCCTTGCTCCCAGTACAGAAGCCCGGCACCCATGACTACCAGCCTGTCAAGGATCTCAGGGAGGTTAATAAGCGAGTTGAGACCATCCACCCGACGGTCCCCAACCCTTACACTCTTCTCAGCCAGCTACCCCCAAGTCATCAAGTATGTAGTGTCATAGATCTGAAGGATGCCTTCTTTACTCTGCCGCTGGCCAAGGCTAGCCAGCCCATCTTTGCTTTTGAATGGGAAGACCCAGACAGACTTTACTCAGGACAGTTGACTTAGACTTAACTGCCTCAGGGCTTCAAGAATTCCCCAACCCTGTTCGATGAAGCCTTAAGTCAGGACTTAGTCAAATTCCGCCAGAGGCACCCTGAGGTAGTACTTCTACAATATGTTGATGATCTTTAGCTAGCGACTGAAACAGAATTAGAGTGTAAACTGGCTACTGAGGACCTACTCCAGGAGTTAGACAAGAATGGGTATCGGGTATCTGCTAAGAAGGCTTAACTTTGAACTCCCCGAGTGACGTACCTAGGGTACAATCTACAGAAAGGAAAAAGGACCCTGTCCTCTAGTCAGATAGAGGCTATTCTGAGGATACCTCAGCCGTGCACCAAGTGACAGGTTCGAGAGTTCCTGGGAGCAGTAGGTTACTGCAGGCTTTGGATTCCGGGGTTCACAGAAATAACTAAGCCCCAAGTTAGGGGAAGAAAAGCTAACAGAAGTTCATAATTTTTCACTGCTTAAGTCCTTGCAGGCCCTCTATCTCGCACGGCAGGAGACCCACCAACTGGTCTCCACCACCAGAACAACCACTCAGCATCCAGTCCAGCCATACAACCATGCTCCAGGAGATTGGATCTGGGTAAAGAAGGTACAGCCTGCTTCTCTTGAGCACCACTGGGATGGACCTTTCCCTGTCATCCTCACAACTCCCACCGCGGTCAAGGTAGCTGGACGCCGTCATTGGATTCACCATACCAGGATCAAGGCTGCGCATCCACCACAGACATCAGAACAATGGACCCTGCATCGGACAGAGGACCCACTAAAGATAAGACTATCAAGGGTCCAGTCTGGACCATCTTAATTCTCTCCATTCTAAAGTAAGGAGGTCTTTGTATGGCTTTTAGGTGAAACCTTACAGAATAGGAGAGGATTAGACCTACTGTTAACTACGTATGTCAAAAAGGGTGCAGGCAGGAATCAATGATTTGAATTCCCCTAAAAAAACCAGTGGGGAATGTTAAGGGTGTGGTTCTGGGCAAAGATAATCTGCTCACTTGTTTGATGATTAACTAGGGTGTGGTTAATCTGCTTGCTTGTTTGATGTTAACTAGGATGTGGCTAGGCTTTGTAAGCTGCCTCTTTTGGGAGCTCGAGGCTGATCTCCTGGAACCCTGTGTAGTAAAGAGTCAGTCGCTGGCCGGCTAATAAAGCTCAAAATTCATCTCAATTGGCTCCGTGGGTCTTAGAATTGATCGCGCCACAACAAATAGAACCATTACCCTTCTCTCTTTCATCTTCACATGGAGTTCTTCCTGTGTGTGTCTGTGCAAGAATTTTCCCCATTGTATAAGGAAACCAGTTATATTGGGTCAGAGCCCACCCAAATAATCTCTTCTTAACTAATTACATCTACAATGACCCTATTTCCAAATCAGGTCACACTCCAAAGTACTGGTGCTTAGGAACTCAACATATGAATTTCAGAGGGACAAAATTCATAATATCCTCCCATTTTTGGAAGCCCAAACAGAAGCCAGAGCCCAAAGGAATCTATTGATACAGGCCATATGAATTAGCCTCACAGGGCACAGGGCAGGGTAGAGAAAGATGAAGAGTGGGTCTCGATGGGACAAATGGATGACATCCAGTATACTCATCTTCCATAATTCCTTCCTCCAGCTGTGTTCAAGACTCCAACTCTACTCCTAGGGATTCAAGACTAGGATCGAGACCCAAACCACTGAACCTCTCACCTTTACACCCACTCAGCCATCATGTCCTGATCACTTTTACTTACTAAATTCCTTCTCCTTTTCTCTAACTCCACTTAACTACTACTACAGCTTTCTAATCAATATCTCTGCCTCCAGTCTCTCTCTTTTGCATCTCTCCAGTCTCAACTTGTATGTTGCCTCCAGACTGAGCCTATTCACCTCACTCCTTGCTCACTTCTTACTTCTAAATCTTTAGCTTGATTCTTCAGAATCTGATTTCTTTCTCTTCCACTATTTTCCCATGTGAGGATTAAAAGCGTTAATACAATGTCAAGTATATAATAAATACTCAGTATTTATTGAGCTATTTTTATTATTGTCCCAATTAAATTATTCTACCCCCTGAATATCTATATTTTATTCAAATCTTCCATGCCCTTTGCCTCCCTAGATTCAAGTCTTTTAGGTAGGAATTCCTATCTAACCAGCTCCTCGGCCTCTAATTTCCCATTTCTAAAGCTTTGTTCTCCTTCCCTCCAGACTAAGAGGAAATGATCTTTCTTTCCTAGACTGGAAAAGCTCCTTGTGTTTTCTATTCTGTTTCTTCCTGGGGAAGCTACACAGGCCCCTTATTCTATCAGCTGGCCCTTGCCTGACCCCTTTCACCTCCCCTGTCTCTTGCCTTCGCCTTCACATAGGCATAGGCCTCTTGATGTTGTACTTCCTCCAGCTCCCATGCACTGCCCCTTTTTCAGTCCCAGATTTCTCACACAAGTAGTTCATGCTTGCTGCCTCGACATTCTCCCCACCCTTCTTTCTGCATCCCTTCCCAGAGCACCCACTCTTCTGATCCCACTCTCTCCAAGGTCACTGATGATTTGTTTCTCTATGGCCAGTTCTGACCTCTTCTGTTATCATTCTGCTTGACCATTTTGCACATTAGAATTCCTCCCACTTCAAGATCCATGTCAGTATAATCTAGCTTTTCATTCCTTTATTTTAAAATGTATGAATTCTCTGAGGTTATATGCTACATCCAGCAAGTGGTAAATCCTGCCACATCCAGCACGGCCCTGGAAAATAAACGTGAGTGGGAACAGTGGGAGATTGAAAAAAGAAAGAAGACAGAAAGCTGGGATCAGGAGGTCCACTGCCCACTCACCGATGGTAGACGATGGTGCAGTTTTAGTTTTGCAAGCTGCTTTTATACAAGAACATACTAGGTGGCATAAGCAGTTTCCCTTAGGCATAACAACACTGTTTCTTCTACTTTTCCCAAGCCATATCTTACCATGACCTTCAGCTTGTTTGCCTGCCTGTGGCTATGTTTATACTTTCCTGTTCTCAGGAGTTTGCTGAGGCGAGGTAACCCTTGGTTGCCCTCACAGACTGTAAGGACTTTGTCAGCTTACAGTCCACTCTCCACCTTTCCTTTTAAATTGAAGCTGCGGTGCATGCAAACCAATTTGAGACTGTGCTAATTGTCATTGGAAGATTCGGCAGTTGACTGAAAGCACAGAAGAATACAACAAGTAAGCATACAATTCCAGCTAAAATTCAAAAAGTATGTTTAAGCATATTCAAAGGATTAAACCCTAGCAAACTATCTAATAAGTCTTTAGCTAAAGCTCGAGGATTGATTATAGTATCTTTAGTATTTTGAATGTCTAAAATTTCTTGATGCAAATTATGCAAATCTAAGCTCAAATTGTTATGATGCCTTGCAAATTAACCCTTTGCCAATTCCATAGTGACTGGTTATAAATCACGTTAGTCACACAGATTGCCTTATAGGCAGCATGACAGCGTAAACTCATCCTTTTCTCCAAGGCCTCAATCTCATTTTCATTCTGAACAACTGATTCCAGAGCATTTAATTTTACCTCTAATTTTAAGTCAATATCCTTTGACTTTTCATAGCTATGGATGTATTATGGGTTAATTCATTTACAAAACTGGCATTCTGAATGCTTTGTGACAATGCGACCGCAGCAGTAACTGCCGTGGCTACCAAAGATACAAAGACTACTATACCAGCAATAACCAGTCCTATAACTCTTTTGTCTCTGCTCAAGGCAGACTTAATTTCTAACAGAGTTTGAACACTGCTATCATCATACCAAGGCTCTTCCAATTTTGTTGGTAACATTATAAAACTAAGTTGATTCAAAACCAACAGATCTGACCCTTTGTTGTGAGGACTTACACAATTAGTTAGATTGCAATTGACACCAGATATATTAAGAAGTCCATTAGAAGCAGTTGTTTGTAATTGTCCAATTAGAAAGACATAAGGGGCAGCAACGTAGGCTCAAACCCCATGGCTATGCTCGATATCAAATCTGCAGTAGATGAATCAGACAGATTAACAAAGTCCAAGGCTGCAAAGGCACGCCACAAGTCCTTTTGAATGTGTCCCTTTGGGGTGGTCATCAAAGAAGCTATGTACCCTCCAGGTGTCATCCGGTCTTTTTGAGCAACAATGCGATGAGACCAATCATACACCGTCTGTGGCCATCTGGTTGTATTATGTTCCAAAGGCAGAGGATGAGCACATTCTAGCCAATTCATCCATCCTTTTAACTCCACTGATGTAGTATTGGGACAATAAGGTATCCCAGGAGGATGAGTTGCCAGCACCACCATAGTATTGTTAGAAAATCTAAGAATAGATAATTGCTGCAAATACTTAAACATGTCCTATAGTCCAGTGAGATTAGCAACACTAGCCACCACATGGCCGTCTTCAGGTAAGATTCAATTCTCAAGCATCCTGTAACTCCAGTATGAGTCCCTGCACACAGTGGTGCAACCGATGATACCCCCCCAAAATTAAAATTCATCCATTGTGGTTTTATATGGCTATCAGGATGGCCTCCAAGAACCTGCATGTCATCAACAAACACAGGTACATTAACATCTTCCCATGTAAATGGATGTAATACAAGAGGATTGGGATAATATGTCCAATAGTTCTCTCCTTTGACTATACTTACTTGTACAGTGAATAAAGCTAACATGGCCACAAACGATCGGTCAGGTGTGACAGACAAACCCTGACATCCAACCATGTCTTGTCCTGATGTTAAATGTTTAATATCCCCCCATGTGGGATTACACGCCCTCCGAGTCGCTCTGGACTATGGAATGATTACCGGAGGAGTGATCTTCAGATGCTTCAGGGGAGGGATGAGCTTCTCTGGGTCTGATCCATCCACCATCTTCACAATGTCTAACCAGCCTTTAAGGCAGCCTACGAGGTCTGTCAGCACCTTCAGGAAAAACACAAACATGCCCCTGGCCCCATACTAAAACAGGATTCTGGGCCATGCCATTCATTAGTTAATGGATCTTTCCAACGAACTACTGCTTGTGGATTCCCCGAAGGGGACCAGAACCTTTCTGTAGCTGTTTGACCATCATCATCTGTGTTTAAAAAATTTAAAGTAAAAAGCACTTGATTTAATACATTTTGAGTCGTGGAGCTAACTCCCCCTTTTTGTTTTTGTATTTGAAGTTTGAGGATGCGATGAACTCGTTCTACAATGCCTTCTTGAGGATTATAGGGTATACCTGTTACATGTGCGATCTGGAATTTGTGACAGAATTGTTGAAATGTCTTGCTAGTATACCCAGGTCCACTGTCAGTCTTAATTTGCTTAGGAAGGCTTAGGACTGCAAATGTTTGTGAGCAATGACTAATTATATAACTAGTGCCTTCTCCCGAATGAGCGGTAGTGAATATAAATCCTGAAGTGGTATCTTTAGTAGTATCTATGTATGGAGTATTGTGGAAAGACCTAACATGAGTAACATCCATCTGCCATATGTGATTAGGTAACAGTCACCTTGGATTTACTCCATAATGAGGGACAGGCAGATGAATTTGACATTGATGACATTGCTTAATTTGACAAGCACTTTCCATAGTTAGGCCAAATTGCTTCCATAAGGCAGATGCATTCTGATGGTGTAATTGATGACTTTCTATAGCTAACTGTGTAGGGGTAGAGAGTGCAGCAACCAGCAAATAGTAAATAGGAACATCTCCATCAGTGCGGGTAGCGCAATGGACATGTTCATTTCCTTCAGCTAGTGGCCCTGAGAGCTGCGAATGTGCTCGTATATGTCCAATGAAGCATAGGTCATTCCTAGCTTGAATAAACTTTTGAAGCTGTATGAATAAATGAAAGAGTCTCTCATATGCCATATGTCTAATAAAGGCAGTTTCAATAATTTGACTTACAGTATGTAAATAAGCACTAGCACTGTCTGAATAAATATTTACAGGTTTTTGCGGAAACAGCTCTAAGGCCCAAATTAAAGCCAATAATTCAGTTCTCTGAGCCAAAGTCATGTTAGTCTGTTTTGAATAAGTCTGAGGAGGAGTATGTACTGCAGCAATGCCACTGCTGGAGCCATCTGTGAAAACAGTAATGGCCTTGGGGATTGGTGTCTGGGAAATCACCTTAGAAAATATTACCGGTGTTAGAAGCAAAAACTATATCAGCTT